ATATACATATAATGTCTAGGTAAAGTTATTAGGTCATTTTTACAACACATACCACCTTGTAAAAATAAATAAAAATAAAACCGTAACAATCTGTTTCTGTCTTATTTTATTTTGAAAGGTTTTCAAAGTTGAATCTATGGTTTTGGATGAACTCGGGTTTACTAGCAGAATATAAAGATTGAAAGTAAACTTTATTTTTCCAAATCGAGGTTGTCCAAAAAGCTAAATTATTCGTGTCATTTCCTCAAAGCCCCACTTCACAAAGATCGGAACTATCCATTTAAATTTTATTTATTTATTTATTTATTTTTACCTTGGATAGCTTTCCACAGGCTCCCAGTTCTTCACGTCAGGGAAGCAGAACTGAGGAATGATCCTCAGCTGGTCTTCTGTCTCCCTCATGAACTTGAAGCTTCGCTCTAGCTAAAACATAAAACAAGAATTTCATGTTTTTATAACCAATTTTTCATTATAACCTGAAACTACCCTGTGAATTTAAGTTAAATATCACTGAGCAGATGAAATATTTTTCTAAAAACTGTAAGTTTTAAGTAAAAACTTAATGAACAGAACACTCAAGCTGCAGGTTTACTTGTGGTGCCTAAAGTTTGGAAATGTAGAATAGGTGGCAGAACCAAACCAAGTCATTTTTAGGTTAATATTTCCTTAATTTTTCTGTAAATTACCTTAGGAGGAAACTGCTGCGTGACTTTCGGCAGATACCGGCCGCCGGCCTTCGACTTCTGCAGCGACACGACCAGGAAATACTCAAAAAGCTCTCGCTGGTGGAGATCCTTTTTCACGGGTAAGTTTCTGGCTTTGGAGCAGATGTAGTTGACCTTTGACTTCAGCTGCCGCGGTAAAGAACGGGCTACCAGGAGAAAGGAGGAAGGTAAAGACGACGCATAAAATAAACAAAAACAAWAAATTAACMTGAMATTTACCAGTGGCGGATCTAGGATTTCTCTGATTAAGGGGCCATCAAGGGGCCACAATATTTATAGAGAGGCCAAGTCTTTGTTCAACATCCTTTCACACAAATCCCCAGTTTTGGTAAGGTGCACACATTTAACCAGTCATACATGTTCAAACACTAGTTGTGCTAATGAGTCAAATAGTAAAGTCCAGAATGAATCAAGCTTACAGAACTCTTCTTCTCTTCTTAAGAAAATTTGAACAATCCTGCAAAAAAGTCTTTCAACTGACAAATGCAAGGATTTTCTCACATGTTGTGTGTTTAAGAATATTTTATCCATGTAGAGTAAAATATATGAAAAACTGGTGAGGAGAATTGACTGTGCAAGCTTTTTTTGGTACCACTTTACAATAAGGCTCCCCTTATAGATGGCTTATAATGAGTTTATAGATAGGTTATTAATTAATCTCTAAACACTTTATGAATCATTAATAAATGTTTATTATGCAATAATTAATGACGAGAAAGACAAAACTGTGTAGTTTCTTATCAAATAATG